GGGGACACCTGGCCAGCAGAGCTGATCTCCAGGGAGATCTCCCAAGGAGTTATTGAGCTCTTGGGGAAGCATCTGCCAGTGCCCACTTCACAGCCCCAGCACTGATATTACTGTTGTTATTATTGACATTATTATCAGTATCATCATTATCAGCGTTATTATAAATATTTTTACCCTTTTATCCTTTTTATTTGATCCTTTTGTCCCTATTTTCATCATTGCTTATTATTTATTAACATTATTATTGTCATTATTAGCACCATTTTGTCTCTCACTCCAACATTAAGACACTACAGAGAAATCTCCCAGACTGAGGGGGTTTTCCAGATGATTTTCACTGGGAATTCAAGTTTGGCTTATCCATGTGGGAACCTCGTGCCAAGCCAATGTAATTTTGGCCAAGAACCATCCCCACGTGCCCATCATCATCTCCCAGGCACTCAGTGGGAGCTGCTGCTCCTCCTGGCTGCAAAACCCTTTGGGATTTTGAGGGGAGCAGCCAGTGAGCCCCCAGCCCTGGGAGCAGGAGCAGCTCCAGCAATCCCTGGTCTGGCTGTGCCTTGGAGGGGATCCCCTTGGAGGATCCTTGGAGGAATTCCTCCACTTTGGCGGAAATTGTGGCTACAGTTGCTGTGGGCTGGACATGAGCAGGATCCTAGTGATGCCTCAGGAGATATTTGGGGGCTTTGGGGACCACAAAGATGCAGGAAGGGACAGTGACAACTCAGGGCTCAGCCCCAGGTTTGCCTCGTGCCCAGCCAATATAATTTTGTCCAAGAACCATCCCCGTGTGCCCATCACCCCCTCGCAGACTCTGTCACGGCTCTCTCCCGGCCCAGGTGTGAGAACTGCCTGCTGCGCTTCCGCACGCACCGCTCGCTCTTCAAGCACCTGCACGTCTGCTCCGACAGCGCCAGCGGCCCCGCGCCCCCGGCCAGGCCCGACCGGCCCTCGCTGCCTCCCGCTGCCCCGGAGCAGGAGCCCCCCAAGCCCCCCGAGGCGCTGCCCAAGCCGCCCCTGCAGAAGGAATCGCCGGACTCTGCCCCGGCGGCGCTGCCCGGCCCGCTGGAGCCGCTGGTGTCGGGGGCCCCGCACCCCTTCCCGCTGCTGGAGCCCGGCCTGTTCGGGCCCTCGTCCTTGACTCGCTTCCCGGGGCCGGCCCCGTCCTCGGTGCCGGGGCCTTTCCTGCCCTACGTGCCCCCCTCGCCCTACGGGCTGGCGCAGCCCCCGGCTCAGCACCGCCTGCGGCCCTTCCTGCCGGGCCACGGCCCCCCCAGCGTCGCCAACGCCGTCTGGAAGAAAAGCCAAGGTGAGAGCGCCGAGCCGTGCGGGACAAACCTTCTTCTGCTCCCGCCTTGACCAGCAGCAGCTCCCGAGGAGGACCCGCCACCGCCCAGCCGAGGATCCGGCCCCCTCCTCCCATCCCCGTCCCCAAAAAAAAAGCCCCGTGCCACCCCCAGTGTGGTGTTCCATTGGGAAAAAGCACCGGCGAGCGCCAAAAAACCGCCTCCAAATTCTCCCGGGCCTGCTGCTCCCCGGTGTGCTGGGGGTGCGAGGCGGGGGGGCCGGGCCAGGCCTGCCCCCCACGAGTCCCCCCCAGGGAGGGGAAGACCTAATGCTTGTCTCGGCCCTCGATTCCCTCCGCAGGTGTGAGTGTCAGCCCACTCCTCCCATGCTTTGGCTCAGGAGTGACTCCAGGTTAGTTTGGCACCTGCTGGGTGGGGGCTGCTTGGGGGGGGCCACAGGGGATGGGAGATGCCCCAGGGGCACTGCGGTGCTCCCCGGAGGGCAGAGGGGGAGGGCGGGCTCCCTCCTTTTTTGGGAGCCATGAGGAGAGGGGATGTGGCCCCGGTGGGCTCCGAGGCAGGGGGGGTTACCGGCTGCACCCCCCCAAAACCCCCCAGCCTGGCCCCGAGGGCAGAAGCAGCAGGAGGAGGAGCAGCAGCAGCAGCTGCCCGGGCTCCAGTGCCCCCAGTGCCCCCAGTGCCCCCAGTCCGAGCCCAGAACCCGCCCTGCCCTTCGCTGCCTGGCCCCCTGCTCCCACACTCGGGGTTCTTCCCCCGGGAAGGGCCCCCCTGAGCGAGTGGGGCTCAGAGCGGGGGGCTCCAGCCCCCATCTCGCCTCTGCACCCCCCGGCTCTGGGCGATCCCTGTGCTTCCCTGCCCGCCCGTCCTTGCAGGGCACTCCTCCAACAGCCGCATCGTCTGGGAGCACACGCGGGGCCGCTACAGCTGCACGCAGTGCCCCTTCTCCGCCGCCTCCCGCGAGGAGATGACCCTGCACATCGAGGACCACCGCAAGAACCCCCCGCCCGGGCGCCTGGAGGCCGAGATGGGTACGGGAGGGAAGGACCCCCCCGGGGAGGGACCCCCTGGCTGCCGGGATGCTCCCGGGGGTGGCAGGGATCCACAGGGATAAGGCACATCCTGCCTCCTCTGGCCTGGCACAGCCTGGCCGAGTTCCAGTCCCTGCTTCCCCAGCCTGCAGCAGTGCCCTGGAGGGGTCTGTGTGCCCCTTCTGTGCCCCCAGATGCTCAATGCCCTTGGGGTTTGTGTGCCCCCCAGTGCCCCCAACCCCTCAATGCCCCTGGGGGTGTCTGTGTGCCCCCCCCCAGTGCCCTCCCTGTGCCCCCCAACCCCTGCAATGCCCCAGGGGTGTCTGTGTGCCCCTCTGTGCCCCCAGCCCCTGCAATTGCAATGGCCTGGGGGTGCCTGTGTGCCTTTCCAGTGCCCCCAGATCCTCAATGCCCTTGGGGACTCTGTGCCCTCCCTGTGCCCTTTCCATGCCTCCCCAATCCCTGCTGTGCTCTGGAGGGGTCTATGTCCTTGCCTTCTCTGTACCCCCAATCCCTGCAATGCTCCTGGGGGTGTCTGTGTGCCCCCCTGTGCCCCTGACCCCTCAATGCCCCTGGGGGTGTCTGTGTGCCCCCCTGTGCCCCCCCATGCCCTCCCTGTGCCCCCCGACTCTCCTGATGCCCCTGGGGGAGTCCTTGTGCCCTCCCTGTGCCCCCCGACTCTCCTGATGCCCCTGGGGGAGTCCTTGTGCCCTCCCTGTGCCCCCCAGCTCCTGTGATGCCCCTGGGGGTGTCTGTGTGCCCCCCCCGTGCCCCCCAGCCCCTGTGATGCCCCTGGGGGTCCATGTGTCCCCCACAAGGTGCTGACAGCTCTCTTCCCTCTCCCTCCAGATTTCGGGGTGGGCCTGGCCCCGTTCCACGCCAAGCTGCCGCCGGAGATGGAGAACTCCCTGTACTCCCAGCTTTGATGCCCTCGGCTCCCAAGGGACTCTCCTGCACCTCCCTGAGCCGGGCAGGGGGCACAGCACAGCCCTGCCACTGTGCTGGGACAGGCAGCCCTCCCTGGGGACAGGAGCAGCAGAGGGACCGATGTTTCCCCTGGGATTTCTCCCTTTTTATTTTTGGGACTCTGCCGCCGCCGGAACCGCTGAATGTCCCTCCCGAAAGGTTTTGTTGCTTCAGCCCCGGGGGCTCTGCGGGGAGCCCGGTAGGTTCTCAGGAGTTAGTGGACTTCTCTGGAATGAGATCTCGGAAAAATAAATGGGAATTGTACAGGAGCGGCAGCCGGGAGAGGCTCTGTCAGTCCCCGTGGGGAGGGGGCAGCGGGGCTGGCTCTGAGGAGCCCCCAAAACCAAAGGAGGGGGACGTGGGGACACAGGGGGTGTGACCCTGTGCTCCAGGGCTGGCCCTGCCAGGGGCTGGCTTGGGGAAGGAGAAAGGGAAGAGTTTGGGGAAGGGAAAGGGGAGAGTTTGGGAAAGGGGAAAGGGAAGAGTTTGGGAAAGAGGAGTTTGGGAAAGGGGAAGGTCTGAGGAAGGGAAGGGACGCCCCGTGCTGCCCCTGCCCCCTGCCAGCACATCCCAGGGCACACAGGGCTGCAGCCCCTGCCAGCTGCACCCCAGCAGCCAGAGCAGGGGGGGACCCCGAGCCCCGGGCAGCCTCCGTGCCTGTCCCAGCCCTGCCGCAGACAGAGGGCATGGAATGGCCCAGAAGAGCCACCGGGAGGGGCAAGGGCCCAGGTGCCCAGCCTGGGGGGCTGCACCCCCCGTGGGAGCAGCCTGGGGCTGCCCCGGTCCCGCTCTGCCAGCCCAGCCCAGCGGGGTGAAAAGTTTGCTGCAAACTGGTTTGAGGGGAGGCGTGCTGGGACCTGCTGGTGCCCACGCCAGCCCTGGCTGGGAGCGAGGGATGGGAGCACTGCAAGAGCCGGCAGCCCCTGCCCTGCTCTGCTGCTGCCAGCGCTGGGAGGGGCCACAAGCAGCGGGACAGGGCTCAGAAAGGCCCAGTGGCCACCTGGGGGGGTGGGCATCCCTCCTCCTGCTGCCATCCCCTCCTTCTGCTGCCATCCCCTCCTCCTGCTGCCATCTCTTCCCTCCTGCTGCCATCCCTTCCTTCCTCCTGCTGTCATCCCCTCCTTTCTCCTGCTGCCATCCCTTTTTCCTCCTGCTGCCATCCCCCAGAGGGTGAGCAGCACCCCGGGATGCCCCAGGGCTCTCTCCTGCAGCCCCCCTGAGCTGGCACCGTGCCCTCCCCAGCCCAGCCCGGTCCCCTCAAGCCCTGAGGGACACCCTGAAGTGTCCCTGAGCTGCTGAGACCTGGCAGAGTGACAGCTTATCACAGAGCCAGCACGGGGTCACGGAGCACCCCAAAGGGAGGGACCCCAAGTGCCAGAGGGGGACACAGCTCAGCCCCCATGCCCAGCTGGCACAGCCCTGGCCCCCTGCCCACTGAACACTGCCCTGCCTCCTCCAGGTGCCACCCCAAAGGCAGGAGGGAGCCCCTTCCCAAGCTGTCCCTGAGCCTGGGTCCTGCAGAGCCCATGGTGCTGGGACCCCAGCCCACAGCAGAGCCCCCACTGTCCCAAACCCACCCTCCTGGGGACAGGGGACAGTCCCTGCTCCCAGCAGAAACCCAAACGTGCCCCAGAGCCCCCACTCCGAGCATTCCTGGCTGGGCCCAAGGCAGAGGCAGCCAAGACAAGCTCCATAGCAATGGATTTTTAAAAACGGAAGTCTTTATTAAAAGTTTTATCCAAATTTTGTAACAAAAGATACAAAAGGGCTGGAGATCCTTATTTCTGGGACTAGTCCGACCAATCAAAACCTGACAGTTACTAGGCTAATATAAAATCCATACAATCTGCTAAAAATGCAGGGAAAAAAAATTAGAAGTAACTGCTGCTCTTTTTTTTTTCTTTCTTTTTTTAAAATTCCTTAAACATTTATAAGTTACTCAGTTTGCATTTTACAGGATTACTTCTCCGAATGGTCACAGCGACTGTACAATGCAAGAGACACCAGCAAAGCGAGACGGGAAGGGGGATGTGATGAACACACCCCCGGAGGGGAGGGCAGGGCTGGAGCTCGGCCCCGGGGGCACACGGAGCCCCAGCGGGAATGCCACAAAGTGCCAGTGCTTGTCTGCACCCCCGGGCTGCCCCCACCTCCCTCCCCGGGCCCTCCTCCCGAGGGATGCGCTGGCTGGACACCTCTGGGACGGCAGGGAAGGTGGGAATGGGGTTGGGAATGCTGCATGCACCTGGCTGCCTTCCCCCCATCCTCCCTGCAGCCAGCTCGGGGTGCCACCCCCACAGCGGGGACGCCAGGGGGGAGCTGGAGCTCTGCTCCCAGGAGGAGGAAGAGGAGGATGGCCAGGCCAGGCTGGCACCAGGGGCCCGTGCAGAGGTGGCACTGGCTGGCAGAAGGACCCTGAGAATTTCCAGGCTAACACGGTCTGCAGGAGCATCACAGTGATGGTGGCTGCACAGGGCTGTGCAGTGTGAAATGAGGGCTGGGGGAGCAGTACCCCCTCACCTGCATTCCCTATCCCTTCCCAAAGCTGCTGCAGGGCTCCCCACAACACGGACACAGCCACAAAAACCCCCTCACGGGACAGCCCAAGGGATGGTTCTGAAGTGGCCACTGGGAAAAACGTTCCAGTTTACAAAATAAAATAGGAAAGCAAGTGCAGGGTTACTGCAAGGTGCAGCGGCAGAGGTACCAGGTCATGCAAGCAGCCCCTCCCTCCCCCTCCCCCCAAAACCCCAGGCACCCCCCTTCCCCAGCACTAAAGCATCTTCAAGCACGTCCAGAGATCACATCACCATGATTTCAGATCTGAGACACCCTCAGGATCGTTGAGTCCACGCAGACGAACCAGATTTTGCACCCGAGGTGGCTCAAAAAGCGTCTCCAGAGCCCTGGGCTGAGGGCACGAGGGTGGCAAAGGCCTTCTGTGCTGGCAGGGTGACAGCTGGAGCTCTGGGTCCAGTGTGGCACAGCTGATTTCGGACACACAGATACCCTAAGGAGGAGATTTTTTTTTCCCCCTCTTTTTTTTTTGATTATATTTTTGCGCTTTTTTTTCTGCCTTTTTTTTTTTAAGCTGCTGCACAAACCACCGAACGGAGAAAAGCCTTTGGTCATGAGATACTTGTGAGAAAAAAGTGAGCCTTGTATGGAAGATTCCCCTGAATGCCTACAGTATTCTAAATCTTAAAAAAATATATTGTGACGCTGCAGCCATACAAAGGGGGAGGAGGAGGAGTGGGAGACAGGGATTTACAGTCTCACACAGACACAACGGGGAGGTTAAAACAAGCAGTCAGAGTCTGTAAAACTGATTGGCTCGCTGGGATCAGTCATCCTCATCATCCTCTTCGTCCTCTGCATCTTCCTCTCCTTCATCCTCTAGACTTCGTTTTCTCTTCTCCCCACACGGATGGTCTGCAAAGAGAGGGGGGATTCACTCTTCCAGCAGCTGGGCTCTGCAGTGGGAGCAGGCACGGGACAGACTGGCACCACTTGGGAGCAGATCCACCCTGCCCTGCTCCTCCTGCAAAAGCCTGGGCTGACACGAGACACCAACAACTTTCTCTGCCCTCCAAGCCTCTGTATAACAGCTGAAAAGGGTTTGGTTTTGTTTGTTTTTTTTTTGTTGAGCACCCTCAAAAGCACAGCATCTGCAGAAATCAGGCACTCCTGACCAAGCTCAGGGCCCCTGGGCTGGCTCTGCTGAGGCCTCAAATCCTGGGGCAGTTTTGGAGCCCTCCTGACACGAAGGACCTGAAGGGGCTGGGGGTGTCCAGGGGAGGGAACAGAGCTGGGGAAGGGTCTGGAGCACCAGGAGGGGCTGAGGGAGCTGGGGTGTCTCAGCCTGGAGAAAAGGAGGCTCAGGGGGATCTTGGGGCTCTGCACAACTCCTGACAGGAGGGGACAGCTCAGGGGGGACAGTCTTGTCCCAGGTAACAAGTGACAGGGTAAGAGGAAATGGCCTCAAGTTGCACCAGGTGAGGTTTAAATGGGATATTGGGAAAAATTCCCTCAAGGAGAAGGGGAGAAGGTGATCAGGCAGTGGCACAGGCTGCCCAGGGCAGTGGTGGAATCACCATCCCTGGAACTTTTTAAAACAATGTGGATGTGGCTCTTGGGGACAGCGGCCAGTGGTGAACACGGTGGGGTTGGACTCAGAGGGGTTTCCCAACCTTAACAATTCCATGATTGATCCAAGACCACTTGAATTCACACCAGCCACAACATTCTATCAACTCTCATCCGGGTGTTTATGTTTGTACAAGCAGAGGAGTCTTGCCCCAAGCTCAGGTCTGAGAGGGGAATGGGCCCCCAAGAGATTCCCTCACATCCTCCTGGGACAGAAGCCCTGCTCCTGCACGGCCCATCAGCTCCCAGAACTGCTTTTCTAAGCAGTTGACCTCTCACATTTCCCAGAATTACCCAGCATGGTTGGAATTTCACCCTTTCCCTCCCCTGTGTGACCCTTGGTGATGACACTGCTCAGGCAGAAAAGCTGCAGCAACAACAGCCCTGCACTGAGGCTGAGGAAGCTCCAAAACCACCAAATATTTGACTGTTGAGGGGGTTCTGCAAGAAATTGGATTGTCAGGACTCAACTCACCCTCCTCAGCTTCATCTTCTTCATCCTCCTCACCATCCTCCTCCTCATCTTCCTCCTGGGGTGAAAACAAGAGGATTTGTAGCAAGAACAATTCCAGGAGCAGTAACCCCAGTCCTCCTTCCCCTCTGCCACCCCAGTGAAGCCTGAGGGTGGCAGGAGAAGCTGCTGGACCTCCAAGAGCTCCTGACATCCCAAGGATGGGGCTGCATGGATCCATCATCAGAGCCATGGAAGTGGAAACTCTCTGGAGTCTGTGACTCCCAGCAGTCCAGAGTGGATGGCAAACTCTCAGATCTGCCCCCAGAGAGGCTCCTGTGACACTTGAGTCACCAGACAAGGGACAAACGTGGTCTGGTGACAGCCTCACCTCATCATCTACTCCATCCTCCTCCTCTTCACCTTCCAGATCATCGTCTTCATCTTCCTCGTCATCAATGACTTCTTCATCCAAATCATCTTCCTCCTCATCATCTTCCTCTTCCTCACCTTCTACTAAAGGGGGGAGGGAGAGAGGGAGGGAAGTGCCCCAGTTCCCAAACCCAGGCACTCCTCACCCCTCAGTGCTGTGTGAGCAGCAGGCAGGGGTCACAGAGGATGAGGAGGGACAGCACCAAGCCCTGTCACCTCCCAGCAAGTCCCACACCCTCCCAGGAGTGGGGTGGGGGAGGGAGAAGGGCTGAGGGACCCACAGAGCCCCTCCTCCAGTGCCAACCCCATGGGTGCAACCCACCCTAAGTGCAAAAGGGGTCACTGCCAAGCAGGAAAACCAGCAGGACACAAAACCCTCACCTTCCCCATTCTCATAATCATCTTCCAGTGCATCCCCATCTGCTTCAGGGTCTGAGTCAGGGGCTTCCTGCTCGTCTGCATCAAAGCCATCCAGGTAGGTGAGCTGGGGCAGGAGGGCGAACACGCTCTCCCGGTAGTTGATGAGCATCGTCACCTCGCAGTTGAACAGGTCCAGACTGTGGAGGTTTGGCAACTTTTTCTGCAAAAATCAATTTGTTAAGATTATTTACAGTTCTGTCTGAAGATGAGGAAGGCGAGGCAGGGTGGCTGGGGCACTGCCCAGGTCCAGCACAGAGTGGTTCTGCCCCACATGCTCCTCGGATGGAGAGGAGTCACTGCTCCTCTCATTGTGGGCACAAGACGTTTCTGTCCAGCTCCTGTGTCCTACTTCCCTTTCTGGAACAAACTCTCTGTGTATTTGCAAATCTTTCTTTCTTCTGAGCAGGCCCAGCAAGCTCAGGAGTAGCTGAGCTGGACTCATCCTGCTCAAAAGATCAGACAGAGCTCAGGGAGAGCTGCAGCCTGGGTGCCCTTGGCACAGCCCAGCTCAGGCACCACGCCAAGGAAAAGAGGAGCAAAACAACCCCAAACTGCTTCTGGAGGGAATGGATGGACAAACAGCCAGTGAGACAAATGCCCTGTGTCAGACCTTTCAGGAGTCCCTCACAGCATTCCTGGGGCAGCTCAGGTGGAGCCTCAGAGGCCTTTTCCAGCCTCCCTGAGCACTGTGGGAATGGGAGTCCTGCAGTGCTGGGACAGCAGAACCTCCAGGCTGATGGGACAGATGCCCTCAGTGCTGTCCAGTTACCTCATTCCATGACACCAAGGTGCCACCTACCTCCAGCTGCCTCCGACCCTTTCCCGGTCCCTTCTCAGCTGGGCACTGAGCATCCACAGTTTTACTCATCCAGCCCCACTGCACGCTTCTTTTAGCAACTGGCTGCTGCTTTTCCAGACTGAGGAGCCATTAACTACTGGCCCAGCCTCAAACTGGGATCAAATCTGTTCCCATCAGAACCACGAAGTGCTGTTGGAACAGTTACCAAGACATTGGATTCCAAGACATTGGATTCCAGCTGCTCAGACCCCATCCCCAAAGGAAAAGGGACAAAAAAAATCCCCTGGGATTCCAGCACAGCCTCCACTCACCAAGGGCTCCAGGGTATTGATGTCTTTGATCTTGTTGCCACTTAGGTTCAAGTGTGTCAGGTTGGGAGTTTTCTCTGCTAGAACTTCAAGGCCACCAGAAATCCTATTATCACTCAGCTCCAGCTGAAGGGAGGGAATATCACATGGTCACCAAAGTGTTTCAGCTCATGATACAGGGAAGGAAATTGCACCGAGAACTGGGCTACAGTGAGCACCCAAATTTCGGCTCCCACAGCAGCAGGTCAAGTTTGCCCTTAAAAACCCTTTTCTGCAGGGCTGCCAGCCACCCCCATGATGGTAAGTGCTCCAAAATCCGAAATATTTATGGTGTCATGAAGCTTCTGACAGTAAAAAAGCAAGACAGGAAGGGCACTAAGCACCTGAAGAGCTCAGAAGGGTTTTGCTGCACATTAAAACCAAACCCTCTCACTTGCTCAGATAGCACACAAGGAGCAAAATTCAATGTATTTTCTGGCAAATACAGGAAAACCAACAGCCACCAGGGGCTGCTGGAGATGGGAGCAGAGCCCTGACTCACCTTCCGGAGCTTGTTGAGTTTGGGGAGGTTGGACACAGAGAGCAGGTTGATGTTGATCATGCTGAGGAACTCCAGGTTCTCAAAGTCTGAGGAGAGCCCGACCACCTTGCCATCCTCTGAGCGACAGTTGTCCAGCACCAGCTCCTTCACCTGCACAGGGACACCCACAGCTGTCACCACACTGCCACCGTCCCCCAGGCCTCCAGGTGACATCCCCAGCACTCCCAGAGCACAGCTGTGCCTCCAGGTCCTCCTCACTCAAATTTAAAACCTTAAAGCCAAATAACTTTTGGTGACAGCCCCTCACTGTGGCTGGGGTTTCACCCTCTAAGCACAAGCCACCAACACAGTCCTGCTGTCCCCAGCAAGTCCCCATCCTGCAGGGGTTTGGAACCACGAGGTCACATCCCAAAGCTCCCTGCACATCAATAAAGCTTTCAGAGTCAGCTTCAGGCTCTGCTAACGAGGGGCCACACCAGGTCAGCAGGGTTTGTCCCCTCCCTCTTTGTCCCCCACGCCACAGGGGTGCCAGAATGCCTGTCCCCACAGGACTGACCTCCCTGTGACAGGGTCAGTGAGGTGACACAGGTGCCTGGGCAGGGCTCAGCACATGAGCTCAACCTCAGGCTGGTGACACAAGGCCACTGATGGCACCAAACACAGTGCCCAGCATGGATTCCACATCCAGGAACCTCCAGGAATTCAGCACTTGAAGGAATCAACCCCCCCATGCCACCAGGACCACCAGCACAGAACTGCTGTCCCCAAACACCTGGGAGGAAACACCCCTGTCCCCCCAGACACAGCCCCAGCTCTCACAAACCACTCCCAAAACCTGCTTTTACCCCACACATTCTTGACAGCAAGATGCAAAAATGAGCCTTGGCCAGAAGGCTCGTGGCGCTCTCCAAATTCCTCCTTCGCAGCGCTCCCATTTTACCTCTCCTGCTCCCATCAGCCAACTCCCAGGGAGTCATTTTGAACCACTCTGCCTCCCCAGAGGGACAGGCTGGGGGCTGCTGGGCCACCTCTGCCACCTGCACAGCTCAGGCTCAGAATGAATTATCACCTCAAACTCCTCAAGTGGCATCGCTGCTCGGGGGTTCGAGTTGAGGCTCTCAGACCTTTTGCAGCAGGGTTTGTTTTGCTCCCAACATGACACACAACTGAGGTGCTCCAGCCCAGCTGGGACTGTCACCGCGGTGGATGTGAAGGTGGCAAAGGCCACACCTGGGTGGCTGCTGCTGTGAGGTGTGGGCACAGAGGTGAGCCTCAACTCCACCAGGTTATCATGGAATGCTGGAATGGTTTGGGTTGGAGGGCCCTCAAAGCCCATCCAGAGCCACCCTGCCACAGGCAGGGACACCTTCCACTGTCCCAGGGTGCTCCAAACCCCATCCAGCCTGGCCTTGGGCACTGCCAGGGATCCAGGGGCAGCCACAGCTGCTCTGGGTGACCCGTGCCAAGCCCAGCTTTACCCGAGCCGGGCCCTTTCCGATGGCCCAGGACACACAGCAGGTCCCGGGACACGCAGGGACAGCCAGCCTGACCCCGCTGGCTCTGCAGCTCCTGGCCTCACTGCACGGGCACCGGGCGCCCGCAGCTCCTCTGCAAATCCCCCGGCCGTGCCCGGAGCCGCTTTAATCTCCACCCAAAGCCCCGCTCGCCGCCCGATGCCCCCGTGCTCGGCTGCCACGACACCGAGTGTCCCCGGGGCCGGGGAGGGACCGGCCACGGCGCAGCGGGGCGGCCCGGGACGGGAGAGCGGGGAACGGGAGCGGGGAGCCCGGGGAACAGGGAGATCCAGGGAAAAGGGAGCGGGGAGCCCCGGGGAACAGGGAGATCCAGGGAAAGGAGCACGGAGCCCCGGGGAAACGGGAGCGGAAGATCCGGGAAGGGGCGGCCGGAGGAGAAGCCCCGGGGATGAGGCGGCCCCGGGGAGGGCGAGGAGCGCCGGGCCCGGCCCCGCGGCCGCCGGCGGAGGGGAACGGGCGGCCCCGGCGGCACCTAAAGGCTCATCCCCGCAGCCCCCGAGCCCTTCCCGGGCGGAGCAGCCCGCGGGAGCCGCGCCGGGCCGGGCCGGCGGCAGCAGCGCATGCGGTGCGGGGCTAGCGCCGCTCCGCTCCGCGCCCGCCCGCCCGCGGCACGCGCCGCCGCGCTGCCCGCCGCACCTCGCTCGGCTTCTTGTTGCGCAGCTCCAGCGTCAAGCGCTTCTCCATCTCCATGCTCCCGGTGCCGCTCCGCCGCGCCCAGCCCGAGCCGCGCTCCCGGTGCCGCTCCCGGTGCCGCCGCTC